GGTAAAGGATTACTGTTTGAGGATCGAGGTCATGAGCAGATCGTTGGGTACTCGGATGCTGATGGGGCAGGATCACCTTCTGGNATATTTTCATCAAGTCCCTCACTAGTCCTCGCATTGATTATATATGTAACAAGCTCGGTACATATGATTTATATGCTCCGGCTTGAGGGGGAGTGTTAGAGATAGCTATGTAATTGTCCCACATTGGAATAGGAGTAGTATCCCCTTTGTATAGAGTAGCTATAAATAGCACCTCTTGTATTGCATCACACACAATATATCAATATATATCATATTTTCTCCCGTGTCTTCTCACAAAAAGAAAGATGGTCCATGCCACAGAAATGATGGCTAATCAACTCTTTTAAAATGCAACAATCGCATGACTTTGATAACCAAAAAAGTTTTTCACATAGTAAATATGGGCGGCCTCAATCCATAACACCCTAGAATAGTAATTTACATAAAGTATAACCAGAGATGCATCCACATGAACTGGTTTACTGTTATCTGTTGACCCTCTGAAAACATTATGCTTTTTAGACAAATTAGTAATCAAGATCAGATCAAGCAAATGCCAAATGCTACCTTCTCTTAGATAAGCTGAGTGTAAAACGTTCGAAAGGGCAGTACCGTACGTATAAGTGCTCCATAGTGACTGCATGTATAATTATACTTTGTAAAGTGCGCATATAAAAAGATGCAGGCGAAAGACATTTGTCTCAGACATTCGCATAAATCTTTCTCCCGTGTCTCTATTTCTCATATGTTGATGCCGATTGGGCAGAGTTCTCTTCTAATAGACAGTTTACTGTTGGATATTGTGTTCTAGACTTCTAGTTGGGGACAATTTAGTACCATGAAAAGCAAAAAACAAAGTGAGGTTACAACTACAAGACCCGGTGCCAAAGCTGAATATCAAGCAATCGCAGCAGCAACTTGTGAACTCATACGGATCAAACAACTACCGAAGAAAAAGCTCAAGGAAACCACTCAGATGTAACTTGCTTGTGATGATCAAGCTGCACTTCGTATTGCATCAAATCCGGAGTTTCAAGAGATGATCAAGTACATACAAACTGACTAGCACTTGGTCAAAGAAAGGATACTCTCAAGACACATCATCACAAGATTCTAAAGCCACAAGATCATACAAACATATTTACCAAGTCCATCCTCGAATTAGTTACATTAGAAAGCTCGACACATTCGACAAGTATGCACCGGCTGCAGGGAGAATGTTAGATTGAATAAGTGTAATTAGTTAGAAGGTGTACTACTGTACATATCAATATCCCACGTTGATCAAATGTGAAGTTATACATAGTAAAGTGTGTATAGAACAAATGTAGGCATTATATATCTGCCTCATGCATTCTCACACATCTTTCTATTGTGTCCTCAGTTCTCACACCTTCATTAAGAGTACTGAACCTAAAGCACAAAATAAAGTGATTAAAATATCAGGACCTACCGTAGCTGAAAGGAGGACAAAGTTGATATGTCTTGGGAGCATAATGATAACTTCTTCCCAAACAACACCTCTTTCAACATCATTGACATAATGCACTTCATCAAATATAACCTATACTCACAAAAAAAATGTAACCAACCAAATAATCTCAAGTACTGGAAAGATTGTAGAAATCAAACGAGTAGAACAAAAGTATTTAATCACATTTTTACCCATTCTATATCACGAATCATATCAGCCCCTCTGTAAAGCATTGACCTTAATATCTCAGTCGTCATTATAAGACAAGATGCCTCAGGTCTCAAACTTATATCACCCGTGAGAAGGCCAACATCAAATTTCCCACAAAAATCCCTGTATTTTTGATTGCTAATTGTTTTGATTGGAGCTGTATATACAGCCCTGGTACAGTGCTGCAGCACACAATTAAACAAGACAAATTGGGAGTAAGTAAAGACATGAAAATCTGGACAGAATTTACACAAAAAATTGTAAAAGAACTTATAACTAAGGAGAAGTAAATACTACAAGACATTTTAGTCATAAGCGTAGAAGAATTTTATACTTTAGATATCAGTATAAAATTCCTGATATCAGGAGAAGTCATACTTTAGCTGCCAAAGCAAATGCATATTCTGCGACAACAGTCTTCCCAGCAGATGTGTGAGCAGCAACAAAGACAGAGTTCCCCTTTTCAAGATGATAGATGGCCTGCAATTAATGCAATGAGAAGGACCACAATATTTTGACAGCTTGATAGGCATATATATGCCTGAAATGAAAAGGGAAAAAAACAACAAATAGCTTCAAGTTAATAAAAAAACAAAAAGAACTCAACCTATTATGTTCAAAAATAGCACTTAGCCCTTCTTGCCAATGGAAATCATTTGGCTAAAATAAACATAGCTACCATGATCAAAAGCATGTACTTTTCCAACAATTTCAAAGGACATGAGATCAAAATAAAGCAGGCTTAGGCCAAGTTCCATACAAGAACTGAGAACACTACACAGACCATAAATTTATACCTCCTTTTGAAAGGGGTCGAGTTCAAATGGGAAAGTCAGAGCCATATCTGGAATTAGCTCATGAAATCGTTCTACAATGATTTTACTGCCACCAGTAACAGCCCATCCCTGCACCAGATACATTGAGGAAAAGCATGAGCAGAAGGATCACTATACTAGATGCACTGGTTGAAATGGAGAACTCCTCTTTTACTTATTAAAAAAAAAAAGACATAGAGAACTCCTCTGTTAAACGGGGAAATGTGCGAAGGATTACCTCATTCTCTTGACGTGCACCATCTTTATCCTCATCCAATCTTGATGATGATCCTTGTGCTTCAACAGACAAAATCTCATCCAAGACAGATATCTCAGTGTCTAAAGCCTCATCAGCCACTTCGGACTTCTTTACTTCAGCTTCAACCTGAAGTGGCTCTGGCGTGACAGATGTCAATTCTTCTGCTTCAGATTGCAATTCAGACGCATGACCTATATGAGAGGAATAAAATTAGTTCTGAAAAAGAGACAAATATTAGCTTGTTTTCCATTTCTCTACAACCCAAAACTAAGAATACAGCAAGATGGAGCACTATGATGAAAATCGTCCATAGTTGCTTTCCGTTCACGATAAGAAAAATCTTTCAGAATAAACATTTATACTTTGCAGAAACTCAGCGGATAACAGCACAGTTATGAAGAGTTACAGATCCGATGGGGCACCAGAGACTAGCAGCTGCAACTCCAATGCAAGTTTACTAGAGTTCTTGCAAATAGATAAGCAAGATGATGACTCAAATGAGACGGAAACACAAATTGAGAGAATAAGAAAAACTGTTCTTGTCCTCATTAACACTTTGATCTTTGTCTTCTCTGAGAACACATAGAGAAGGTAATTCTTTCTCTAATAATTAACTTATTTCATAGTAGCCCATGATTCAAATATAAACAATGGTTTGATAACATTGCTCTAATCTTCCTCTTTCTCCTATTTTCAACTAGAAGCATCACTTCTTCTGTAAAATAAAATTTAGAAAAAGTATCAAACTATGCATATGTTACTCCACCTTTCAATATCTCCTTTTCCATCGTTACTACTTACTAATTGTTGAAGTGTGTGACCAGATCTCATCTAAAGGTTTAACCTGTTAGAGAGAGCACACTTTTATTTGCTTAATATATATCAACATGCCCCCTCACATGCGGTCCTAATTCTTTTTCACGGACCAAGCACATGTAAATTCTTGTTGATAATGAGTGGAAGTGAGTATCGAACCCAGAACATCAGCCTGCTCCGAATACCATGTTGAAATGTGTAACCATCTCATCTAAAAAAACTAAGTTTGTTGGAGAGAGCACACTATTATCTACTTAATTATATATCAACATTAATTATCAAGTTTGTATCAGACTGAATGAACCACTTCCAACAGCTCAATAATTCTGGTGTGCAGTTACTGTTGCACACCAAAATAAATAAATAAAAGTATCCTCAACATAAGTTTTAGATGAAGTGGTCACACAATTTTATATGATATCAAAGTAGGCAAAGATCCAAATTTTATATGATTCAAGTCTCACAGCCACCAAAACAAAGACTAAGGCCCGTTATGAAAGGAAGTATTGCAGATTTAACTGAATAAATAAATGAACACCCTATCTAACAGCTTAAACTTTTAAATGAAGTGGTCATACAACTAAGGTATTTAATAAAGTCGGACACATCACGAGACAACTCCGTATTTCAACAAGCAGTCACAATTTGGACGGTATACACTCCCATGTTTCTACGGGCACCTCCACAACCTTAGCATATGATGGTCTTAAATAAACATTTCACTTTTCTGGTATGGAAACTGCTTTCCCAACAAAAGGAGAAAAAAGGAAAAAATTAGCTTCAAGGAGGAATGCGTGGTATATAAGCCACGCTATCCTAAAATATTACATGTTTGCTATATGTACCAGAGAAAACAAACTAACCCTGTACTAGCTAAATTGGTTAGGTTGATCTACAGATATTTGATTATGAAATCACTCTTCAAACGCAAGAAACATAAAACAATCAAAAGAATTGTCTAGATAATACAGACCATCTCCAACAAACTCTGTGACATCCTCTTGCCAAGCTTTCTTAAACAAGTCATCAAACTGCACGGATAACTCACTCTGCAGATAGCCAGACAGAGATGCTTATCAGAAAACAAGAAGATGAGGACAAAATTACTTGACCCATTCCATAGCAAACCTGACGAGCAGACCTAGGTGCACAGTTCTTACTTGATAGGATGGAAATACAAAATATAGATGTCTGTATTTTATATAAGAAAACTTGAGTTCATACTGATACTGACCAGTTTCACCTCCACTGTGTTCGTGACAGCACTCTGATCCTCATATATATTCCATGAGAAGGAATGCGTCTCCATTAACATAAGAATAAGATCCCTCAGAACTTCATGTATACAGAGAATAGAAACTTAATCAAGAGCTCTTCAATCGTTAAAAAAACTCAAGCACCTTACCTTAAGATCACCAAGATCAGGCCCTTGCTTAAAGCTTGGAGGAGCGGTTTGGGCAGGACCACCATTAAGCACCTCCCTTACCCATTCACCGTTGGTAGCACCATCAGGAACAACTCTGCCCAATGAAGGAGAATCATCCAAGCCACCAGGTCGAAAAGGACGATTATTTATGCTTCCTCTAACGAAATCCTTTGGTGGTCCAACAATACGCGGCAAAGCCCCAGAATCCTCAGTTCCAACTGTAAGTTCAGATACATCTCTCTGAGAAGTCAGAAATTAGCCAAAAATTGTCATGATTAGCAACCAAAAAAAGGAAATTGTCAGGCACTGAAATTCTCCAGTAGTTTTAGTATGGAAAGGAAATGGAAAATCAGAAGTAGTGAAAGAACTTGTTAAACCATGAACACTTTTTTCTTGTTCCTTTTTGTAGGGTTGTGGTTTTTTTTTTTTTTTTTTTT